AAAGAGAATAATTTTATAGATATTACTTATACACAATAAAGCATACTTAACACATATAAATATATATTTCTTTATTAGCGAATCACAAATTTTATATGTAATATAATATTTATATTGTTTTTAATTATTCAGATTGTATTTTACATTGAAGTGTAAAATCAAGTAAGAAATAAAAAATATAAAGAATCCAAAATGATAAAAGAAAAAAGATAATAGATATTTTACTCGATAAATTGTCATAGATGTAAATTCATATATTTTTTTCCTGTTTTATATATTTTTATGAAAAATATACATATTTTTCATAAAATCTGATTATTTAATATTTTTCATATCTTTTTCTATTATCATCCCTCCGAATGGGTTCTCACCTTGGACTGATAAAAGAGCTTATAGCAGAACTCAGAGCTATCCATTCAGGAATATAACTGGATGCAATCAATAAAGAGGAAACTTCCATCAAGCCATTTTAAGATTAGTTATTGTGCCAAGAGCTAAATAGTATAGGGGAGTTGCGTCGGAAAGAGGCATCTCTCTAATCAGTATCTCCCAGATACTTGGAATACAAGTCAAGCCTTGAGCATTCACGGTTCTGTCCGAGTAATATCGTGCAATACTTGTGGAAACAATATGGAAACCATATTTCGGATAAACGATGATTTAAATAAAATCCAGGTCGTTGCTTCTTTAGAAAGCGAACAATCGCAAGAGATTAATACCGTTAATTACAGTTCCGATCAAAATCTGAGTTCGTTATGAATCGGCGCTGCCAGGCATCGATTCAAAAAATAGTGCTAACTGCAAAAAGTCATAAGCCCACCTTTGCAGCTGCCTCGGATTCGGCGGACAAAGAAGGATGTGTTTCAGTTATTGTATAAAAATGTCCGAATCACAATACATTCAGTCTATCAGATAATAATTTGAATAAAAAGGCCTAAAGTTACTGACTTAGGCTCATATGATGACCAATTGTCTAATTAAGATAGCCCTTGTTATTCCAAAGGGATTATCCTGATAGAAAACTAAAATTGATGAGATTGCAAGATTGATTATAAGATTTTTGAAAATTGGTCCTTTGTCTGCTTAGCCACTGATAATCCTCCTCTCATAATCATTTTGTGAGCTAAAACATAGCTAGCAGCTAAAACCTGATAGGACTTTTCATAGACATCGAAGAGACTTAATAATACTTCCAATGTGGCAATCGAACAAATAATAATAAATAAGAAACGAGATTCCAGGAGCATTTATAGACTAGATGCGGACAGAAACTCAATCGTTAATTACGACGAAAAAAATTCTCAGACAACCGATTAGACGAAGAATATATTTTCCTTTCTGCTATGTCTAGTGAAAGAACTTGAACAACAAAGTTGAAGGAGGCAGGCTTTATGATCTACAGCTGTGCGGAAAATGAAGTCATAGTGGCCAGAAGCAACTTCCTCACAACTTTCAAAGAAAGAAGACAGCTTTGGATATCATACAAAAATGTCAAAGATCTGATGGTTAATCCATCCAAGACTATTATCATAGCCACCAAAGCCATGATTTTCATCAGGAAATACAAATTTAAATCTATTGAAACTTCTGACGGATCTCGAAAAAATCAGCGGAGAATAATAGAATTTCTTTTTTTAGATATTAGGAACTATTTTACTACCTGCTTTCACAAGCATTACTCGTAATTACTATCGCAATAAGATTAGCATGTTAATAGAAAAATCAGTTAAGTTTTTTTAATCCGCAACATTAATATGAAAATTATGATCTATTTACATCTATGATAATAATAAACGATTACATATAGAATATTTTTATTTTTGTCATATATGATATATATTTGCATTATTTTGTTACAAACAATATGTCACTACAGTTACAAATATTCACTATAGTTGATAAAATATTACAGAGACTCGAATACTACAAAATATAATTTCATCGTTTTTTTTACGAATACTTCTATTTCATTAATATCATTATTACATTAATATCTATCAAAATGTCACAAAGTTTTGGATAATTTTTATAGGAATTGAGTACTATCCGCTAATTTACAACACATTTGATATGAATGTTAAATATGCCTAATACTACTTTCGCATATATCAACGATGGTAAAACTTTACTATAAAGAACAGTGAGTATACATGCATATATAATATAATGTTAACTATCCCTGATATCACAAGGCTTGTTTGTGCAAAAATAGTACTTGGTTGTACTAATAATACTTAGTTCTTTGAATCTGACAGTGCATCGTAATCTATACATTAACGTTTTTACCAATATGTATTTTTTTTAACGACACAACTGTAGCTATGCGTGCGTATATATACGCAATATAATCTATATACATACGTACTTGTCTCTATGTAATTAAAATCACTTTTATTTTACTATAAAATGTGTTTTAATACAGAGAAAGTTTGGCACTTCCTTTGGCAATCTGAAACTGGTTGCATGTCTTTTTAGTACCTGATATTTACATTTTTTGAATGCTTTTAGTATATACTTTTATTTAAAAATTGGATTTTCCATTCACTATTTATCTGCACATAAACTTTCCAAATATATATAATTCTATACTATTTTAATATAACTTTTTATATAAGTTATAGTTAATTATCAGATCTAAAGAATAGGAAAAAATTTTTTTCTTCATAATTATATAAATTAATCATTTTTCTTAAATTCGCTTAGAAGCAGGAAAATAAATATAAAGATGAATCTTTAAGCTACTCATCACCAGTATCGTTTTAAGTATATATTTTTTATGAACATTTTCTTCGACAAGATGCTCTTTGAAGATGTATTTGAAAGTAATTGTTATCTATTTAAAGAATCGGAGTTTTGGTCGGATTTTTGTTTGTTACTATTATCTTCTTGACAACTTTGACTAGATTTGATAGGTTTGATGGATTTTAATTTCGTAGTTCCGCTAAATCGAAAATTTACATCACTACAAGTATCAAGTGGATGTATGGTTCCTGTCAAATTTGTTAACGAATCATTGGTTGTAACTTCGAGTTTGCTAGTGGGAACCTTTTTTATAGAACCTAATTCATATGCTGATTTTGATGATTTCAACTTAAGTTTCAATGGTAACGATATCGATTTTTCTAAATTGATAGCTGGAACTTTTAAATTATTCTCGTTCTGAGGAACCGGATTGTTTGCCAGATTCATAGTGTCAGTAATTTGAATGTCGATATTGACTGTTTTGGGATCATTTTCATCGTTGTTGCCTCGTATCGCTTGTTCAGAATATTCGTTTCTAAGAGCTGCTAACTGCGCACGTTGCTTCTGTATGTGATTGTGCGAATTTAAAAAGAATGAAGAGACTTTTTCTAATTTCGTTGCTAAATTGGGTTGGCTCATAGTTGATTTCAAAGGATATGGTGTATCCATACTATTATTCCTTAAAAGATTTTGAGATTCTCTTCCGGTTGAGTTACTTTTTATCATCCCGTATTTGTTATCTTCAATGACTTTTAAAGGATATGATTTAGTACCAGCACTTCGTCGTTTCTCGACCATACTCAATTGTGCGAGTATCCTACGAACTTCGCCCGGGATTTCGATATCAGCACGTGTATCTGCTAATTGCTGAATAAACGCACCTAACGTGGCCACTGTTACTTCAAGACTACGATTTTGAGACTCAAGTTTGTGAATAGTCGCTTGTTGCATTGATCGTGCTGTTTCGAGCCTGTGCAAGTTACTCATGGTAATCTGTAATGTATAATTTCATCATTACTGTAGTAACAATAATAGCAAAAAAGAGGATTACAAAAAACAAAAATTAGATTATTTTTTTGTAAAAACTAAATTAAAAATATAAAAAATATAAAATTATATTGAAATAACTTTTATATTGATCTTACTTATCCTCATATTTTTAACTGCAATTACTGTAGTTTATCTGATATTTTAATATTATTATTTATTAATATCAGTATTATATCTAATGACTAACTGAATATTCTATCTGTGATTGTTATTAATTTTAAAACTGTGATTCTATGACTCATACACGGAATCTTCAAATTCATTAATATTTAATAAATGTTTCTCAATAATGATTACCTCTAGTTGTTCGCTAAGTTGTGCAATTTCTTGTGTAAGTTGTTTATTTCTAAATTTAAATTTCTCCAAATTTTCCATTTGTGGCTTTACCGATATCATTTCTTCTTGAAGTACTTGATATTCCACTCTATATTCGTTTAATTGCTTTGTGATTTCCAAATCAGGATAAAATACACGTTTCATTATGCGATCTAAACTTTGCTTGTCTATCGCTGGCACACGTGTCTAAGATTAGAAATAAAATACATGATGTAATATTTATGTAAATTTAGTTTTTTGTTTCTGATTATTTATAATTGATTAAAAGAAGAAGATTGGAATATAATTTTACCTTGAGGTATTCCATAATTTCCTCAAAGCTGTCGCAACATAATAATTGATCTTGATGTTCTTCCAATAATGCAACTGATACACGGAAGAGAACTTCGGAGCTTTCCAGAAAAAGCAAATCTGTAGGAAAACGAATTATATCACAGATAACTTCATTAAAATTGGATTTTATATATTATTATTATTATTAAATAGAAAAATATGTATCTTACCAAAAACTCTGGTTACAAAACCTAAAGAAAACTGGCTGGAAAACAATGTTAATAACCATGGAGCGGCATATAAAGTAGGCGAAACTTCATGTTTGTCAAAGTGATTATAAATAGCTGGTAAGCGATCGTGTAATAGCCTAGAAAGTTGATATAAGTGCAATTGCAATGCTGCCATATCTGGCAAATACAATTTTCTAAGTCCTCGGCGAAACATTAGATGTCGTAATAAGAAAAAAGCTTGATCCTCCGCCATCTAAAGAAAAATTATATTAATAGCATAAATAATATTAATAATATCCAAATATATTCAAAAGTTAATATAATAAATATAAAAGCTGTAGAAAGCTAATTATTATTGTCAAGTTGTAAAATTATTGAATAAATTATAAAAATAATATGAAAATTATAATATGAAAATTACACTCACATGCAATAAAAGGACTCCAGCAACGAAACTAAGGCCTTGACAATAACCGACCTCATGATCTAGCAAAGAATAGGCCTTCAATAAATTGAAAAGTGCTAATTGACCAGGTCCCAATGGTGAACTAAAATATGGATGACTCGGGAACGTTCTCCCCAAGTCAATAAGGATAGCATGTTGTTGAGATGTAAGTTGCTTCAGGAGAAGTTCATAGGGTGTATTATAATTTGGAAACTCTTGAGTGTCTATAGGCGGTTGTTTTAAGCAAAATTGCTCGGCTAAAAATTGCCAAACTTCCCCTCTTTTTCCTTTTGGTACACCTATATTTAAAAGAATTCGTTTTGTATAGTAAAAGATCAGAATAATTTTCAAATTTTAAAAATATTATGCTTGACTGAGATATTTTCATTTTATATTACCTTGCTTGATAGCATGTAAAAGCATTTGATTATCACATTTGGTAGAAACCCGAGATTCCTTGCTAACAAGAAGATCCCAGACTTCTACTACTTCACGCGCGCAACTACTAAGCTCGTCATATTCAAGCTTGATTCTTTTTACCGTTGCCTCCTCTTGACGTTCTAATATTTTATATTTGAAGAAAATAGATAACGTAAATATCACATTATATATTAGAAAATTAATATATTTCTAGATATGAGATTTTTTTACCTCTAAGTTTCGCGTTTTCTTTTTCCATTCTTATAAGTATCAATTGTTGATTAATCGCTTTCTTCCACAAGTCTCGTAATTCTTGTTTTGATCTACGTTTTACGGACGTTTCCGAACTTTTGAGAATATTAATTTTTTCAATTTCTCTAGCATTATCTTTGTTCGGTGTTACAACTCTGTTTAGTATTGTTTGTCGCCAAGAACTATTGGCTTGTATTGTGCTACTTCCATCAATGTCCGTTGGGGATGTTTTCGGTGAATTACCAACTTTTAAAAAGCTATAAAAAAATATAATAAACGGATAACAAAAAAACACGACATATAGAAAAATGCCAAGAGATAATTGAAAGTATAATAAAAATATATTTACATATCCATCATGGAACTCTTTGGTCCGTTATTTACACCTATTTGTTGTTCAGGCGAAACACGTAATGATCTTGGTCTACTCGATTCCGGTGAAATATCCAGTATAGATGACTGTCGCGAGTTATCTGGACTCTGACTATCATTCTTTTGTACTACTGCATTCAGATGATTTGTATCCCTCAATTGCGGGCCTAAACCAAAATCATCACGCGAACCTTTTCTCTTCATAAGATTGTCGAAACTATTCGTAAGAGAGCGTTTTGCTTTCATGAATATCGTGCTACCTACGCCGACACTTAGATATTGATTGAGAAATTCACTCCTGCAACGTAAAAATGTTGTCAAAATGTTTCATTTATGAACTTATATATCTTGATATCAATGAAAAATCTATATTTATGTATATCCAATTATACCACATTACCTATTTTCAGCCGTATCATGTACGTGTCTAGCTTGTTTTGATTCGCAATGAGCACGCAATAGTCGCATTAAGAATTGATTTTGCTCTCGTAAACTCGAGGAACTTGCACCAATGTTGCCTGCAGCCTCGGCACCTTTATATTTGCTTACCACGATCTCCTGCTCGTCCTCCGGCAATAATTCCATACGGGAAAAATAATGCTTTGCACTTTTTTATCATTTTGTCCTAAAAATAATATCACGTGTTGGTAATTATATAATTCAACTCAAAATTACATAGTATCTTTAAAATATAAAAATCTTTACCTTCAATTTCTTGGCATAATTTATTATACCAGTACATAGGACAATGTTCGCAAGAAAATACAGAATATCTCTCTTTTCTTGCAATATCGCAAGTCGTAAGAAAAGCTTGACTAATTGCTGCATAGAAAAAAAAAATTATTATTACTATAAAAAAAATCATAACTCTAATAAGAAGAGTAATAGTACATGAGTCTTACTGTGTCATAGATAAACTAAAAAATCTTGCCTGCAACAAGGTCATCCGCGACTGATCCAGATTGACATTTGAAGACATATCCGATAAAATATTCTGATTCTTTGCAAATAAAACCAAAGTGCTCGGGATTTTTCGTACCCTGCACGCAATTTGTTACGTCTCTTAATTGTTTATGCAGAAGGACTTGCTTTCTATCAGGACTAATCAACCTCAAATCAAATCGTCCTACCTACAAAATATAAAATTGATGTAAAAAATAAATCTAAAATTGAAATTGTCTTTTTTTCCTTTTCTTTTGTTATTCTACAAAGTCGTATCTCATTTCATTAATTTTAAAATTATCATTATGCTTAATTATAAATATTAACTACTAAAAGATATGTAGTTTTACATTAATAGCGAATCGGTATTCATAATTCGATATAAGTAAAAAGCAATGAAGCCATCAAGAAGCCATCATATTTTTCATATTCCGTACTTGAAAAACCATAGTACGATTGTGATCATCGGTTCCTTTAATAGCAGAATCTCTTCTACCACTTAAAACACTGCCAGTAGATGCCGCGCGATTTCGCATTATTTCAGGTACGGTAATATTAGAATTAGCGGAAGATTCGGACGTCCGATTCCCATCACGGCCATCGTTTTCTGCCTGATTGATGCTTGTTCTTGGAAAAGTCTCGACAGAACTGCTTAAAACTGGCGGGATTCCAAGCGGATTCACGCTTGGAATTATACTGTTTCCCGAGACATTCTCGATACTGCCTGATTCACTGGCGGTAGATTCCTGAAAATATAACGGTAAACTTCCTCCTTTCTACTTGATAAAAATCTAATTATCGGTATAGCAGTATAATGTAAAGATTTTAAAGAGAATCTATAAGAGAAATGTTTTTCACAATATTATCCATCATAAAGAAAAGCTATAATGCAAATTTTAATTGGAAAATTTCATTATTATAATGAAGAATTCCGATTCAATACACGAATGTTTAAAATAAGATTATTCGATGATTAAGAGAAATATTCTTACCGTACTATTTCTCCTATTAAAGGAAGACATCAAAGCTTGACGTTTCAATCGTTGGCAATCTGAGAGAAGGTTACTTGTTGAAGATCTCGATTTTTCGAGTCCATGAACGCGGAATTTTATCAGTGCGTCGTCAATGAAGGATTCCGGTAATTTCGGATGCGACACTTTGATTTTGCCAACGTAGAATACCTGAAATCCGAACAAGGAAAAGTCAAGGTAGATCTCAAATTTTAGTCGATTAAAAGACAGATTATAAGACAGATCAAAATCTTATTTTATAGCTTCAAACTTTTTTTTCGTTAACGGAACGTCGTTTTATTTACTAAAGTTTTATGTGTCAAGATGGATTCTTCTTGGCTGATTACATCATTATAAGGAAAAAAAAAAT